CTTATAAAGACATTGCTAATATAAGTAAAAACCTAAATTTAAAGTTTTTAAGAATGTTTTTAACCAAATTAAAACAAAAAATTCCAAAATTAAAATTTCTATAAATAGCTCAAAAATGGCTAAAATTTGCTAAACTTTTAACCGTAAGGAACAAAATCCTAAATACAACAATAAAGATTTCTCGTCATTTTTCATTTAAAGCAATATTTCTGGTAGAAAACGTCGTCCGTAATTATTTAGTATTATAAAATAGTAAATTCATATGTTTTTTTTTGCTTYAACCACTTTTATTTCGAGTAGTAAATTTGCTATGGCCTCATAAATATTATTCTTTAAAATTTTTATTATAAACGATTTTACACTAAGTTTAATCAAAAACGTAAAGTAAAAATATTTTGCGTAAATGAGTCTACTTGGATCAAATATAGAAAATATATAGTGCGTTGACATCCTTAGCTTTATATTCAATACATTGTTCAATTTCCGCTTCGTTCTGAAGTAAATAATCATTCCCTACCTTCAGACTAGGTATAGTCTTATTTTTTGATCAGCAAAGACGACAACGATGGGCGTTGGCGTATTATAATATATTGTCGTGTATTATTTTATAATACTAWTATTACCATGTAGAAACTATAAAATGTCCGGTCGTCCACGCGCAGTCACCACCGAGCTTATTGTCAGCATCAATGCGATGCGGTTAATAGTCATTGCTGCGCTAATACGATACAAAAAAAGAGAGGAAAATCACRATAACCATGCATTGTAAAAAGCAATAATTTACGGAGTTATCATGGCAAACAATCGCGGCGAGCCAGCGACACGTTGGTGTGATAACAATATTATTATAATTATCAGAGACTCATCGTGTCGCCAAGGATGAGTCTTGGCGCAATGGTTTCCTGATGCTAGAAAGTAAGTACATTTCTTTTATACCTTTTTAGTTATTTTAAGTTTATTTGATCACTCGACATCGTAATCTCTGAACTTCGCTATTCTCGCCTTCACACGTATCTTATACCTTAGCTAAAACAGTTTTATACAATATTATTCATTATTATCGTACTTGGCACCTAACTCATCGTCACGGTACGATCACACACTGTGGCACGAAGTACTGTAATCAGTTTTCGTAGTTATAAAAATTAAACTGTGCAGGGGTGCAGTACTATAATGTACTGTGTAGTACCTAAAACTGTACAAGTATCCCAAAAACTACAAAAGCCACATTTCTCAGCGTWATCCCGCACCGAAAAAGTGTTGATTACGAGTCGTCGGACCTTTCCCCCTGCACGAGAATTTCAAACGTTATATTGAATAATAAAAAAAAAACTTATTTTGTTATTGATAAGATAGGATACATATGATACATATTTTAGTGTGGTAATACACTGACTAGATATCTGTAAGAAACGATTGCCAGTTTTTCCGGATTTTGAACTCAATAATTGGGATCTTGCGATATAAGACCAAATCTATGACATTGCGTGGTTGAGCACCACCAGGTGATTTTGGCCTCAAACACTGCAGTAGTAGTCGTTACCTTAAACCGGGTAAGCAAAAACGTATAACCTCCGTTGTCCTTTTCATGTTACTCGAAGGTTTTGACTTCAAATACCCAGTAATTAGATCGAATGTCATTTCCATATTGTTCTATGCTACAACCGGAATGGATAGACGGTCATTTCTCTAATGAATAACTATAGGGTACTATTCCCAAAGTATTTATACTACGGTTACAATCTATATTTATCGCTAATATACAATGACTTTTTTCATGAAATATAAAATATATTAAGTTTACCTATATTATAGTGAAATTATTTAATCATTTTTATATACTGATAAATTCAAAGGCTTTTGAGAAAGTTTTTTAAATAATTTAAGTTTAAAAATGTAAACATTTTTTTATCGATTTAATTATTTTAAATGGTAAAGACCATAACATATTTTTTCATTTCAACTTGCGAATCAAAACGTTACTCAGAATATTTCGTTTTGTTAAAGTCAAACTATGGATGAGTAGATAATTTTTTATAACAAAATTTAAAGTTTTGACGAGTAGAATAGAGCACCATTTTGCGTAATACTCCTGTGCGGTTTCACTCCATTCGTCTAAACTTTATAGGTAATAACTGAAAATTAATAAAAACAAACAAAATTCAACTAAACATTCACGTATATTATTGAAAAAGCTTAAACGGCCGAAACCATTATTACAATACAATTTTTAGTTATGTAATAGGTAAATATATTAGTAAAACCTTGTAATGTTGTATGGGATGATACTTCAATGACGTCAGTAGATAAGGAATGGTTCGGGAAGATCGATTTGTTTACGTGACGGTTGCCTCAACAACCTGTATTATCTATAAACCTTGGTATGCACGCTCACTTTAGTTGTCAAAAAGTGTTGTTTAACTTTTAATTTTCATGTGTTTATTATTCGCAMTACGCGACTTTTGTAATTTTATAATTATTTTCTTTATATTGATTTATTTGTCATATGATTGTTCTGCCGATCGGCTTGTGATCGTGCGCCATTTTTTTGTCTTTTCTAACCCTAGCGTGTAAGATATTGAGTTGCAGAGCAATTACATTAAACTGTTATGTTACATAACTTATGTACATTGCCCATCGGCCATCACAACCGATTGCTGTTATTTTTTTTTGTGGCATTAGAGAGCCTCGCATCATCACCCATATTATTGAAAATTTACTAGTCCATCAGTTCCTAATTTATTACTAATTTATTATAGTCCACTCTTTCATCTTCCGTCTAAAGGCTAAAGAACAACAGACAATCAGACACACGGTGCGTAACGTATGGGCCGTCGTTGGCACACACACACATACACGTCGTACGTACGCGCCGTGCCGGCGTTACATGTGCAGCCGTTCATCCCGCACAATGATAATGTTTCAATATAATTGAGACGTGTTTTTTGGCAATTTTTATGTTTTTTCATAAAATATAACTTCTTTTGTTTCAATAAATCTTCTTTTTTATATACCATTCGTCTGTTTTTAATTATATGTTGTTGAATTGAAATATATTTGGGTGTGCTGCGTGAAAAATAGTAAAATATAATTTATATTATACATATTGTGTACCTAGTCTGCTAGTATTATGGAGAAGGATGGTCGAAATTTGTTTACTCGCTAATCGATATTAACATTACCGGACGCAATTTGTGTTCCCAAATTTTCAGGAATCGAGAACCTATTTGTATATCAATATATCATTCGTCCGGATCAAGGCGTATGTTATTTACTAGACATTATGCGATTTCATGATAATCACAACAGTTTAACGAACCACCATCAAATGAATAATTTATACGTTATTGCGCTTTACAACGGAGACAAAACTATTTTCGGCATGCATCCGATCAATAAAACAAAATATATTATACATAATATAATTGTGAAATTCCAGACGGGATACCGGGTGCTGGTTATACACTAGTCGTTTTTACTTCTTGTACCCAGCTAGAAGTCACTGGATAGTAATGCCATTGGTAATATATCATAATATGCAATATGAAATATAATATTCAAGTGTAATTAAAGAGSACACTTTGGTTACCAAAGTGGTTATATGTAATATTGAGTTTGTGGAATCCTCGCCGTACTGATGATAACTTTTAAATACACAACATAATTATAATGATTAATTAATATTATTAATTGTTATGGTAATTAATAATTACTTAGCACAATAGTAATAAAAAAATAAAAAATATACAACTATATTTTTGAAAATAATTGTACTATAACTTATTTAATTGACAGATTTAATAATAACAGAATTTAAAAATTGTTTTCTTTATCATACCCACCACCACATATAATTATGAATAGCTTACCTTACCAGTATACCATCATAGTTTACCTTGTATATTATTATAAGTACCTATCAATATTATACGAATGTCTAATTCATGCATTAAGTATCTAGATACTACGATATTGGGCAATCTGGCTACAGTGTGTGTTGGCATGTGGGTTAGTACCTATATTAGCTTCAATGGCAATGATAAATATCCACGTCAAAAAAACAATTCCATATGGAGCTCGGTGAAAAAAAAATAGCCGTACTCAACTCATTCCAAAAATATTGTATTGACGTTTGTTGTCTGACTTATTTCTTCGGACACTACGGTATTATACTATAACAAACACGAAATAACAGTTAAGATTTGTTATCATGTTTTTAAATGACTATAAACTAATATTAAAAACAAAAAATTATTTCAAAGCCAATATAATACAGTACACTCATTGATATAAAATTATCATATACACATATTATTGTTTTATATGGGTAATAATTATGCCATTTTATAACATTACCCCATTGTATATCATTATATTCGATATTTTATAACCATGCCGAAAAGAAAAAGAAAAGGAAAAAGAAAAAGAAAAAGTATGAAACAACCTATTTGGTAACTTAAATATCTTGAAGTATGTTTCAGAATTTCAGATAATAATATAATATAATCCAATGTGGCCAGCACGTGCTACTCGCAGGCGTGGGAAACGT